ATATAAAATTTAAAGTCATTGTTACAAATGTACGGAGTCCAGAAAGGGCCAAACTATTTTTGAGCATCTTGCACCATTACCATAGTATTGATGGAATGTGACAAAATTAAATAAATAAATGCATAATAATTTAATGTATCATTTAATTATTAAATACATTATTAAGTATAAAATGAAATTATTAAATATATAAATAATTAAATGTCCCATGAAATAAATACATTAATTATTCTGTATTTATTTCTTTGATTTTGCCACATTTTATCTTCCTAAGCAATGGAAATAGCCCACTGTCATGAAGAACTATAAGGCCAAGCTTTTTATTTTATGTAATTTGAAATATGCATTTTTACACTTTTGCACAGGCTCTTTGCTCGCTTGACAAATACAACTTGATCAAACTGTGTGTGAATATATGGATATAGGAGCAGTAACTATAAGAAATGTTTGAACTAAGAAATTGTGCTAATGTTTATTTTTTTTATTTATTTTTTGCATGTTTACTGTTACTAATGTCCACACTCAAAGTTAGTATTTTGCAATGCATTGTGGACTAGATACATCTGTACATACTTCTGATCTGTGGAAATGTTAAACAGTGCCCGTGTTTCAGCTGTTCTCTGCGGTCATTCGGACACCCAGCAACATTGGACGAAAAGCTCATTTAGCTATCACAACAAAAAATACCAAATGAACTAATTTATAATTACATTTGAACATAAAAGTCAATAAAAAGCAGGTGGAAACAACCAAAACAGTAGAATTGAATACTGACCCCGAATAACGGAAAAAGCTATGAACATTTTGGAAGCGGAAGTGAATATAACTGTGAGAGGAATCCATCAGGTGGCAGCAACGTCCGGGAATGCAGCTGCTGTAAAACCGTAGAAGAAGAAGAAAGCTGCGCGTTGTCTGAAAGGTAAAGACATATTTTGATTTTTAACTATTTAATTATGATAATAAATAGAAAACAATGTTTATGTACATAGTACATGTTTGATTACAATCTGTAGAGCTGTCTGGTGTAAAGTTTGTTTTCGCATGTCACTTGCGATGTTTAAATGTTAAAGCTAGTTAGCAGCTAATGCTAAATGACAGCTAATGCTAATGAAAACAGCCGACCTGCCTCACAGCCACAGTTACTATATGCCATAAAAACGAGAGATTTGCATTTAGTGATGCATTACATGACTTTATACACGAATTTAAGTTATTGCAAAATGAAATACCGACATAAACAGCTTTAAGTAAACAGATTACACTTTATTTTAGACATCAACAACAAAAAGACCATTCTGGAAAAATGAGCTGATGTTTGAAAGAAAAAAAACAGACCTGATAAAATTAAGTTTAAGCTTAAAGTCGTCGTGACATTTAACATTAATGACATTTAACTACAAATCTTTCCATAGTGGGTTTTTTTTTTTTTTTTTATATTTAGTTTTGATGTGATTCTTAACTTTTTTTGCCTCAGAAATAAGTCAGCTTTATTTAAGTATTTATTTAATTTTTTACTTAATCTTTGTTTAATTCTGACAAATGTTCAAAATGAAATGGAACGTCTTTTAAAATGACTTTCTTAAAAAATGCTGCAAAGAAAATCAGGATTATTAAATAAAATTATTTTTTCGTAATGTTTAAATAAAGTTTCCATCCTGTTTTGAACGGCACACCTGGTCTACAAACTGTAAAAACAACAACAACAACAACAAACAGTCTGTATAAAAGTTGCCACATCAGAACAGGATCTGATGATCAGCAGCATCTGGCTGCTCAACTTACCACAGACATACTCATTGGTCCTGCTGTTCCAGATGTTTTCTTTTAGTAGCTGGTTACATTTGAGTCAAGTTTATGTCCTTTATGTATTCTGCCTCTGTGCCTTTAGAGAAACTTTGAAACATTTCAGAAAAAAGAATTAGATCACAGCAGAGTCTCTTATTTTTTTTTTTTATTTTAAACCAAAATCAGATTCTATCTTATCCAAAAAGTCCTTTTTAAATCCCTGAATGCATAGCTTCATGTTAAAAATGTTAAACACTCAGCTACCTGCTCTCAGAGAGAAAACCGAGGTTAAACAAATGTGCATGAAATACTTTTGTACTCTGTGAAATATTCTTGTGTTCTTTGTATTTATACCCTTATGGTTCTCTTGGGTGGTTCTTTGAGGTGGTTTCCTGTCCCAGTCTCTGATGCTTCCCAGTACCTCACGCTGCACCCAGTCCATCTTCGCCTGCCTGTCTTTAACCCGGCCTCTGGCTCACTTCACACCACACATGGACCCAGACCCCAACCGGCTCGTTGAGCGGACTATCAGAACCAAACTCGCCAACGTGTTCAAGCCGGACCACTTAGAGGTTCTCAACGAGAGCCACATGCACGCTGTTCCCCCCGGATCTGAGTCCCATTTCCGCGTCCTGGTGGTCAGCTCCCAGTTCCAGGGTCTGCCATTGATTCAGCGCCACCGTATGGTTAACGAAGCACTGAAGGAGGAACTGAGAAGCCGCGTTCACGCACTCGCCATCCAGGCGAAGACTCCCGATCAGTGGGGGAGTGACCCCACTCTGGGGAAGAGCCCATCCTGCATGGGGGGTTCAAGAGGTGATCACACAGTGGAGGAGAAACTGAAGGCAGGACGAGAGTAAAATGATGGAGCGTGACGTTTCCTCCTCAGCCTCAGTCAGCACTGATATTTAAAGGTTTAATAATAATAATAATAATTCACCTGCTTGTACTAAAGACAGCTGCAGGTGTTTTACAACAACAGTGACTCAGAAAGCCACAAACAGCAGAGCTTTCCTAAAGGTTGAGATCCCACTGTGGGTTGTAAAACAAACATGGGCCTCGAGCTGATCTCCAGATATTAAACGATTAAATATTAATTAATTAATATTATTGCGAACAGCATTTATTTTTGTCACAGTTGTTACAAACAGCCATCCTAAACTAATAAAAATTGCCCAATGGTTGCTAAGTTTGATTGTCTCATGTTTTTTTTTTTTAGATTATTACCGTCTTTGTATAATTTTTGACAGTTAAGGTCACAAGTCTCTGGGGAAAAAAAAAGTTTTTTTGTGGTTCTGGTCCAGGAAGGTTTGGAAACTAGAGATGTAGAAAACACAATGTACTTTAATTTATGGACTGTAGAGACCATACTAATTTATTTATAGAGCACTTAAAACAGCAACAAGGCCAACCAAAGTGCTGTACAATAGAAACAAACAAGCACAGCGGACAGGGAAACATAAAATAAAAATATAGATACAAATAGCAGTGGATAAGAACTAAATGGCCAACACTGCGGACTACAGACTGGATCAAAACAAATCACACCGTATCAAAGGCAAGGGAATAAAAGTGGGTTTTCAGGTGAGACTTAAAGACTGAGTGCCTGTCTGACACGAATATAAGCTGCACACGCTAAATAAAAAAAAAAGTACATATATAAGCCGTGGGTGCTTAAAGACTGGAAATTACAGTCATCATACGTTCTATTCAGATGTCTCTATTTATGATTTTTGTTTTGTAGAAACTTTTTTTTACATTATAATCTAAAAAAGAGACAATTGAATTAAGAATTTTCAAACCTTCAGTCTTTGTTTGTTAAAATATGTCCATGCTGGGCTCCACTTCTACAATACTATAAGCGTTTGGCTCTCCTAAAGAAAATGAATCAAATAAAAACTTCTGTAGACTTGCAACAACGTTCTTAAAGCGATATGAAGCTCCAAAAGTCTTTGACCCACTTTAGCTGAAGTCAGCTGCCGTCAACAGAACCACGGCTTGAGCACACACATCAAGGTTATGATGTAACAGAAATAAATTAATGTTTGTTAGAAGTGAGTTTCTTAAAAAATATACAGTATATTCACAAGTTCATCATTGCATCAACCAAATTTAAACGACTAGTTGTAGTGCAGCTGATTAAACACAAGAGGGCAGTGTTAGCATAAATATAAAAGGTGAATAAAAAATTAAACATAATATACATATCTTAACTGGTCTGATAAATAGAAACTAAATGTTCTGTTCCAGTCAAGCATTAACATTTTCCAAAGTTTAACCATCAGATGTGATTGTATATAAACAAAAACTCACAAAAGGACATGATAAGCACAACTGTGAGAGTTTGAACAGCTAAAATCCAATAATTCTCCTTAAATGACATCGTGAAAGAAGCAGAAAACCACAGTCTTTGTTTACCATGAAACACGCAGTTACCACTGTTCTAATATGATTAACCGTAACTACTTTATATTTTCTTACTTTTAAATGCTTAAACGTCTGGAGTGTTCGCTGATTTTGAGAATGATGGTCTGTTTTGTACGTGAGTGGCCTTTTTTTGTTGTTGTTGTTCTGTATGTCTCTGTGAAAGTCCACTTGTCTTAAGTTCAACCCGGATGACGGCCTAAAGTCACCTCTCAGACCCGCAAAGATACGTCAAAAACTGAACCCGCTGCACTCCTTCAGCCCATTTCCCATTCATCGGCGAGACTCTAGGGCTTTTTCTAAGTTAAAGCAAAAGAATAATGGAACATTTGTCAAAGAAGTCAAAGAAACTTTAATGAGAGGTAGTCAAAGTTATTGTGTCATGAAGGCCTGCAGAGGAATGTGGCGTCACCTCAAGGTGATGCGTGTCGTCCTCTACAATCATGTTGTCGGGCCTGGGACTGACAGCCTGTCAGTCCAAACAAAAGGCTCCGGTGAGGAGGGTGAACAACTGGTGTCACTGGTTTGGGAGAAAAGGCAAACAGTAACAACCACTTTATGACCCCTGCCTCTCATTAGAGCCCGGCCTTAAGAGGCCAGAAAACAGAGCTGTGGGAGAAACCAGCGAGCTGCCGGGCTCAAGTGCCTCCGGACCTGCACACAGATTTATGCCTTCATGATTCCAGGTGCTGCCGAGAGGAGGTGGAGTGCAGAGACTTGTTGAAGACCTGGTTGACCTGTTTGTGAGCAGCAGAGACACGGAGCCGTGACACGGAGATCGTTGGAACATCAAATCCTGAACCACCTGAATAAAATATTAACGTGAACTTCCTCCATAAAACCGTCTGTGAGTCTGTCCGGGTTTATCTGCAAAAATCTTCTGTCATCTTACAAACTGATATTCTGGCAGAGATTTGAACCGGGTCGCGGGCACGTTGCATAAAAGTTTCAGGACTTTTTTTTTTTATCTCAAACGTGAATATTTTGACAATCATCCTCCTCATCACCTGAATGACAACAATGTAGGAGCCAGACTTTTTCAGTTTCAGCTCACTCTCATAGATTCAGAGCTGAACTGTCCGCTGTGCCTCCTTCCCTCACAGCCCGGCTCCAGCAGTGATGGATCTGTCTCTGGACCCAGACCCATAAGGCCCAGGAGTGGAGGGGTTCTGCGGGTCGGTGGAAACCCACTTTGGCGGCGCTGCATCTGCGTCAGAGCTCTGGGACAGATGGTGCCAGGCTGGTCTGGGAGCCCAATCGGGGCAGGGTTCCCGCGAAGAGCCGCCGCTGATTTACACCGCGACTCCGAAAACGAAGGCCGGAGCTCGTCGTGGAGGGGGGAGGACGGGGCTGCTTCTGCTCAGCTGACCTCTGCTGGTCTCAGGGTCATCCACCAGTGGGGAAGAATGTGGGGGAGGAGGGGGAGCACAACAAATGGGGTGGTGGTCCCAGGGGACCGGCGTCGTCTTGTGGCCCCCCGGGCAGCTGCAGGATCTGTGCAGCATGTGTGCAGGGAACGCTGCCCGATGAAGTCGAGACGAAACGAAAACGCTGCAGTCCGCAACTGAAGCAGCGGTTTGTCTTTTACAAAACACGATTCACCTTCAGACATCACAGCTTCACTCTGTGCTGTTGTAGGCCCTGTTTACACGACAACGATCCAACGGAAACAGATTTTGTTCCCCATTTCTATTAACACGTTTACATGAAAACGTTCTAGTTACAACCTGTTTACACAGCAACTAGATGTGGAAAAGGTGTAATTCCCTCGCCGTGCCACTAGTTGGTGCTATGTTCTTTGAAACTTGAAACTCTTAAAGAGCTCATGAGTTAAAAAAAAATAATAATAAATTCTACCTGAAAGCTGCTACAACAGTCATGGCAAAGAATAAAATATTTCTATGGACAGACGGTGATGTTCAACTGTTGCTTAAGGTGACTGAATTATAAAACCACTAAATTTCAAGAGAACATTGACTGGGAATCATACGCGGATCTGTATTGGAGCAGTATCCGGCTAATGGAGCAAATGGAAAAGACCGCCATAACAAAAGCACAGGTGATGTCCAAACTGAAAGCAGTTTGGGGAAAATCCAGGCGTGCTGTGGACTCTGGACGTCGGAGTGGGCGAGGACGTGTGGTGCTAATTTTCTTTGAGCTGTGTGAGGAAATATGGGGTGGGTCACCGGCTACCAGCGCCTTCAAATTCGGCGTCAAAACTGCTGATTTTGTATGAGCTCCGTCTTCGATAATTTCAGTAAAGAGGTAGAAAATGAGCGCTGTGTTGGAGAACCGTAGTTCGATTGGTAAGAGCAAGAAGCACAAACAATACTCTGGTACCCGCCATTGTCGATAGTTTCTTCTTTTGTGGATTGTAGGAAGCCGTTATGTTTTGCGTTGCTCATGAGCCAGGGATTCCCTGACAGAAAAGATCTATTTTTTCTGTTTACACAACCGGGACGTTTTTGAACCATCGCACTCCGGAGCCCGTTCTCAAATTGTGCCGTTGTCAGAGAAAACATTTGCTATTTTCGTGTAAATGAACAGTTCAAACGAAACAAAACTCTTCCGTTTTCACCAGAAAATGTTTTTGTGGAAACAGGGCCTTTTCGTTCGGCTCGTTCAGCAGATGGTGCTACTTTTGGTTTTTGTAACTTTCAGAGTGTTCTAAATGTTTAAAGTTTTTATATTGACGAAACATTTTCCTCACAGATGCAGCACACTGGCATCTCTTCAGTTCTAAATGTTTAAAGTTTTTATATTGACGAAACATTTTCCTCACAGATGCAGCACACTGGCATCTCTTCAGTTCTCTCGGCACACTTCTATTATTGCCTTCTTTTGACACTTTTAGCTAGCCTTTTATAACTTTTATGTTTTAGTTAGTTTTTTGACTCTTTCTATTCAAGGTAGCCTTTTGACACTCATAGCTTTTGGCTAGGCTTTGGACATTTGTAGCTTTTAGTTAGTTGTTTGGCAATTTTAGCTGTTATCTTTTTGCAACTTTGCTGTTAGGTAGCCTTTTGACACTGATAGCTATTGGCTAGCCTTTGGCCATTTGTAGCTTTTATCTAGTTGTTTAACAGTTTTAGCTCTTAGTTAGCATTTTGCAACCTAGCTTTTAGGTAACCTTATGCTTATTTGAACTTTTAGCTAATGATTTGCCATATTAAAATAGCCTTTTGCTACTTTTTGCCTGTAGCTACTGTTTTAACTCTTTGCTTGTGTTTTACTACTTTTAGCTAAAAACTTGTGGCTAATGTTTTGCTACTTTTAGCTAATAGCTTTTGCTACTTTTAACTTGTGTCTTGACTTTTTAGCTTTAAGCTAAAAATCTTTTAGCTTATGTTTTGCCACTTTGGGCTTCAGCTACTGTTTTGCTTCTTAATTAGTTTTGCTTTTATCTTGTGTTCTGCTTCTTCAAGCTTTCAGCTAATGTTTTGCTACTTTTAGCTAATAGCTTTTGGCTAAGGTTTTGCTACTTTTAACTCATGTCTTGACCTTTCAGCTTTAAGCTAGAGATCATTTAGCTCAGTTTAGCTTTTGTCTTGTGTTCTGCTTCTTCAAGCTTTCAGCTAATGTTTTGCTACTTTTAGCTAATAGCTTTTGGCTAAGGTTTTGCTACTTTTAACTCATGTCTTGACCTTTTAGCTTTAAGCTAGAGATCTTTTAGCTCAGTTTAGCTTTTGTCTTGTGTTCTGCTTCTTCAAGCTTTCAGCTAATGTTTTGCTGCTTTCAGTTTAAAAAAAAAA